TTGTTAGAGCAGTAGCCCGGATTGCATTTTTCATTAAGAATATTTTTCAGTATTGTTAAAGCAAAATTGGTCAAATATAATAATTAAATGTTTTGTTATAGTTTTTTTTTTCATTGTATTGATTCTTATATACAAATTTAAAATTATCCTTTTTCGTTTAAGCAACAATAGAAAAACACGGCTCATTAACGATTGAAATGTAGAAAGAAATACAAGTCTTCTTTTTTAGAAATCTAAATGAACAGTATTTAATGCAATCAGGTGTTATTTTGCGGAAATCCATTGCTTTAGCCTTGGAACTATGATATAGCAACTTCTACTTACACCCGGTGTCTGAATTGAGTATTTAAAGTTAGGCACATCTCAAACCGTAGTTAACGTCATATACGGTCAGTTGCACAAAAGTCCATTAAGGTTTAATGACGTCTTTAAGCTCTAATGTGTGTCAAGTTTGTATTGATAATGTTGCTTTAAACTAATGACAAGTTTAATGGACGTTTGTGCACTCTAGTGTAATCTATTTAACATAGATGTTAAATAGATTCTTTTCAGATTTTAGCTTTTTCAATTATCACTTGATAGCAGTTTGATAAAAACTAGGACATTTTGCCTTGTGAAAGTAAAGAATTTAAACTATTGCGAATAATCACTTGAGATTTTGTAAAGTGAAAGTCAAAGTCAAAATAATCTTTATTCAAATATACTTCTTAAAAGTACTTTTGAATCGTCCAACAATTTTTTCCCTACCGCTCGTTCAGGACGTCTTTTGGCTGATAAGAAGAACGAACAAGAAACTCACCAGCTCTAATAGGAGTAATGATATTTACAAAAACCATGTCATTACCAGATCAATACATTATAAATAAAGAGAGAGAAAAAAAACTATGGTCTTATAATGATACAAAATCATTTAATTATATTGGAAGCAAGATATTTTTTATATATAATGATTTAAAGTAATCAACAATATAATCGGATACCTTATGCTTTTTTAATAAGTATTTTTTTAATAGTAGACTTAAACTGCATGATATCTAATTGTTGTATTTTGCTTGGGACCTTATTGTAGAAGCGCACACAAAGACCCCTGAATGAGTTATTAACTTTTTGCAGTCTAGTGACAGGCACCGTTAATTTATTTTTATTTCTTGTATTCAAATTGTGTACGTCACTTTTTATAGAAAACAAAGTAATATTTTTACGAACGTACATTAAGTTCTCGTATATGCATTGAGAAGCGTATCGTATATCGTCACAAAAAACGTTTGTATGTCGGCAGCATTTCCCCAAAAAAAAGGATTCCGTACGATATCACACTATGAAAATAACTGAAGTATACTAATCTGGCAGTATCTATGTCAGTTAACCTACGTATCTTCATTACGGCATATGCTGCAGAACTAAGTCTACTCGACAATTTATCAATATGTGGGCCCCACTGTAGTTTAGAATCTAATGTTATTCCCAAAAATGCTGTGGTATCCACAAGACCCATGTTCTTATCTTTTATATTAATATTTATATCTACTTTTTTAACATTAGGTAGTACAAATTTTAGGCATTTTGTTTTTCCTTCGTTAAGGAGAAGATTATTTACATTAAATCAATGTACTACTTTAGCGATAGAATTGTTCACATCATCATTAACAGGTAGCCCTCTTTTAATTTTAAACAAAAGTGAAGTGTCATCTGCAAACAAAACGATCTCGTGATCATCCCTTATGAAATAAGGCAAGTCATTTATGTAAATTAAAAACAAGAAATGACAAAATATTGAGCCCTGCGGAACATCCATCTTTACTTTTGATCCAGGCGATTTTTTTCCATTGATATCACCCCTCTGCACTCTGTCAGTCAAGTATGAGACAATAAAATCCAATAAGTTATCTCTAAATCCATAATAATGAAGTTCCCTAATTAATGTTTCATGGAAAACACAATCAAATGCCTTAGGTAGGTCGCAGAAAACACCTAACGCATCATGTGAATCCTCCCAGGCATTAAAAATTTCATGTATTAACTCGACACTTTTTTCAATTCAGAAATCGCTCGTTATAATAATAATAATATATTTATTTCTGCATAAATATGGAAAGTACAAGATGTTACAATTTATTTTCTAGTTAACAGACATATTTACCAGAAACTGGCATGCAGAAGAAATTATAACAATTAGGGAATTACAATAATAATCATAAAATTAAACAAATGTCAATTAAATTTCATCAATATAACGCAATAATAGTAGTTTAATAATTCATAATTTTGAGATAATATGTCAACATTTATATTCAAAATATTCCTTTAAGCTATAAAAACATTTCGCCGTAAGCCATTCTTTTAACTCAGACTTGAATATACTAAGCCTGTCGTTTTTAGATTTTATTGGCAGCTTATTAAAAATTTTGATTGCCATAGGATAAGTACTTTTTTGCCACATTTCCGTTTTTATCAAAGGTAGCTGCAATTTGTTTGGATATCTAGTGGTAAACTTACGAGGAATATCATCATAACGTTCAAAAAAGTGCGGATTATTCCTAACGAAAACACATATTTCATAAATGTATAAGCAAGGGACCGTTAGTATTTTTAAGATTTTAAAAAGTGGTCTACAAGATACTATTTTTTTTACGTCACATATGGCTCGAATGCATGATTTTTGTGCAATTAATGCTTTATTTATATTACAAGAATTTCCCCATATTATAATACCGTATCTCAATATTGAGTCTACGTGTCCATAGTAAGCCATAAGAGCAGTTTCTTTGTTTGAAATCTTAGCAAGCTTCCACAAGGCATATGTGAAAGGATTTATTTTTTTACATATTTTGTCTATATGGTCTTTCCAAGTCAAATGTTTATCTATAATTAAACCTAAAAATTTTACACTATTTTTTTCCTCCACCATTTGGTTGTCATATGATATTTTAATATCTTTTTTTTTACCATTTCTATTAACAAATTGTATATATTCTGTTTTAGATAAATTCACTTTGAGATTATTTTCTTTTAGCCAAGTTACTAAAGCTTCTAGTGTTTTATTTACTTCTATATTATAGTCATTATTTTTATTATTTGGTATAGCAACAGATACGTCATCGGCAAATAATATGCATGGGTAATTTGTCACATTTGGGAGATCGTTAATGTACAATAAAAATAGCAATGGCCCAAGTATACTGCCTTGTGGCACTCCAGACACAATTTCTTTTTTATTAGACTTATAGTAAACTTCAGTTTTATTTTGATCTAGGCTACATATTTCTACATATTGTGTTCTGTTTCTTAAGTATGATTCAATCCACTTATTTGCTACACCTCTTATACCGTAAATGTCACATTTGTTCAACAATAATTCATGTGAAACTCGATCAAAAGCTTTGCTCATATCAAAGAATATTGTGGTTATCGGGATGGACTTATTTGTGTATTCTAATGTATGTTTTATTAATGAGAATATTGCTAAGCTAGTGGATTTCCTCTTTTGAAATCCATTTTGCTCGCTTTTTATTATATTGTGTTTGTTTATAAAATTTGCTATTCGTATATACATGGCTTTTTCTATTATTTTAGACCAGATACTTAAAAGTGCAATAGGTCTGTAATTATCTAAATTTGTAGGGTCGCCTTTTTTAAAAATTGGTTTTACTACAGTTGTCTTTAATATTTGTGGGAATTTGCCTGACATGAATGATAAATTTATTAAATAGCATAATATCTCTGCTATTTCATCATTTACTTTTTTAATTATTTTGGTTGAAATGTCATCATATCCGGTTGAATTTGTCAATTTGAGAGAATTTATGATTTTTTTTGTTTCGTATATGTCAACTGGTACTAGAAATATGCTAAAGTTATTTGGTTTCATATTTTTATTATTCGTGATTGTAATTTTATTGTCATTTAAATTTGTCAGATTTACAAAGTGATTATTGAAACAATTTGCAATGTCAATTTGATCATAAATGATTTCATTTTTATAATTTATTTGTTTTATGTCTGTTTTTCGATTTATTAGTCCATTTTTATTGTTTATTAAATTCCATGAAGCTTTAGTTTTATTTTTTGAAATTGAAATATATCTCTCGTTTGTTATTTTTTGAGCCTGATGTATAATTTTTTTTAGAAGTTTATTGTAACGTAGATAGCTAATCTTATTGTTGTTGTTTGGTTGCTTATAGAATTTAAATCTTAGTGCTCTTTTCCTAATTGTCGCCTTTCTTATACCTACTGTTATCCAACTCGGCTTTTTTTGCATTGTATTATTTATTTTTCGAATACTAGGGAAGCATAAATCATATAATAGTTTAAAATTTTCATGAAATATATTAAATGCATTATCTAAATTTTTTTCTTCGTATACTTCAGACCATTTTAATGATTGCATACATTCTTTAAACTTGTCAATGTTTTCGCTGCTTAAATCTCGTCTAAGTTGAAACCAGATTTCAGGTTGTTGTTCTCTATGGACCACGTTGAATGTAATTGATTGTGCTGTGTCATGATCAGATAAACCCAAGTTATGTATATATCCCGTGGCTTCAGGTATATTACTGATTATTTGATCTAAACAGGCATTTTTTCTTGTAGGCTCTTTAATATGTAGTTTTAAGTTAAAATTTGATACAAGCTTAAATAGTTCGTATGATTGATTTGAATCTTTTAATGTATTTATGTTTAAGTCGCCAGCAATAATTATTTTATATTTAGTTTTATATCGGAGCTTACACAGCAAATCTTCTAAATTATTAAAAAATGTTTCTGGCTTAGAGGTTGGTGTGCGATATATACAAATTATTATGCATTTGTAGGAAACCAGTTCTATTCCACAGCATTCAAATACGTAGTTTGCGGAGATTTTTTCAAATATATTTAATTCCTTGGTTGCAATTTTATTTCTGCAGAGAATGCATACACCGCCTCTTTTTTCGTGTTCTCTTGAATAACTAGAAACTAATTTAAAATTTCTTAAGTGAACATTGTTTTCACTTCCCAATTGAATAAAGGTTTCCGAAAAACATAATACGTCAACAATAACTGTGTTTTTTGCTTCAAGCTCTTCTAAAGTTATTTCAATAATTTCCCCCTTGCTGAGCAAGCCGGCAATATTTTGGTGCATTATAGTAAGAGACGAGGTGTTATCGAAAAAAAGTATTTTGGTCAGATGTTTTTTGTATAGATTTAGTTTTATTTAATTTGGGAAAGTAGTCATAAATTTTTTTTTGTAATTGCGTTTTTCGGTTCTCATGCATTAATGATTTTTTCCTTAAATTGTGTCTTGTATAGTTAAACATGTTTACATTTGTTTTAGTTATTAAGTATTTATATTCATAGTCGATTGTGTCTATTAACATATTTACTCTTGTACATATATATTTTTTTACCATTTTATTCAATAATTTCTTAGCAAATGTATCGAAACGAATAAAATGACAATTTGTGAACATCTTACATGTTTTTTCTATGCTATAGTTTAACAATCTTTCATTTTGATGATCATTATTTAACACACCTAATACAATTACAGTAGCATTTTTAACTTTCTTTAATACATAGTACAATTCGGACGTTGTCTTTAGAGCATTACTATCATTTTCACCGACACATAATATAATTTTGTCCATCGAACCTAAGTTGCAATAATCAACCGACTTAAGGATGTCTTCCGTTTGTGCAAAAGGCTTGGTCTCCGCAAATATTTTATAATCTTCGTACTTGGTGTTTCGTCGTAGGTCTGATAGAAGAGAAGCCAATCCCACACACTGCTGCGCTCCATATATCATTATTTTGCTTTTTACTACTTTCTCTTTGGTATTATTTAGAGATTTCGATGTATCTAAGTCTTGCTTTTGGTATTCAGTTTGAATACTTGCCACTCGAGTATCAGTATTTTGTGATCCCGTAGACGTATTAAATTTTGATACTGAAAATTCACATTTCTTTTTTATTACTTTTTTGGTACTAGAACAAATTGTAATCAGTTGTTTTATTTTACTATCCCTTTCTACTATTTGTTTTTGTAGCGCGTTATTTTCAAGGTGTAGATTTTCGATTTCCAGGTGGGCAGTTTCAAGTTGAATATTTAAGTTTGAAATCGTTTGTTTCAATAATACAATCTCATCATTCTCTCTAATCGACAGATCAGGAAGACTTCTTGCAGGCATTTGTGAGTCCAACGATAAAAAAGAATTATCATTATCGGAATTTGATTCATTTGTAAAATGTATTAGACTTTCTTCTCCATTGTTACGTCTTTTCCTATTTGTGACGTTATTTTCTGATGTTAAATTTAACACTTCCTGTATCTTCGTATTTGTATATTGTTGTGAAGGTTTTGGTGTACTCGTTGTATTCTTATTAAACGAAATAGGTTTTTTTTGCAAACATTTGTCGCATCTCCAACGTTGCTTACTGTCAGTTGTCATTAAATCATAAAGCTTGTTAGATATATTTCCACAAGTCAAATCATATGTCTTTTTGCAAGCAACGCATTTTAGGAATTCATTTGTGTCCTTTTTGCAAACGCTACAGCGATTCACCACTTTCTTTGTTTTCGCCCTTCTAGTTATTGGCTTTACAGAGGATGACATTGTATACCGATAGATACCTACTGAACAGTCCAAACAAATTTTATTTATTCTTGTCAAGTGAGCTCGCTAGATGTCGCTCCTATTTTCGTCCCAGTCTATTCAATAACTTAAATATTTTCAATACAAAAAGTCGACCAAACGTAGGTTCGAACTGGCTCAAACCTACGGTTCACCTATTACGAGTCTATGCAGCCACACACGCAGCCACCTAGCAGTTGAAAGTAGTGGTAAATTTTTTACTTATATTCTTCATTTGATTTGAGTATAAAAATAAAGTCGTTACAGATGATTCATCGGGCAAAATGTTTGCACTATTTTTATTTAAATAACTTTTTTGCCATTTTCATTTACACAGTTTAAAGTTTGATTTCACAGCTTAGACCTTTCATTGCACTATAAGGTCTTAGAGTGGTGATTTTGTGCAATTTTTTGCCGTTTGTACATGTGAATTTATATGCGGGCGGCGCACAGTTACATAGCAGGTCTTGCGGATATAGACTGGGTGTCGAAGTTGCTAGATACCATAGTTTCACGGTTATATACATGAACAGTATTGCACGCCGTAAAGTGTAAATAATAATGATACTCTTATCGTCGTCTAATATAAATTTTAACAAATGATGTGTATTTATCTTAGAATAAATCATTCATAATCATAGATCGAATAATTAGAAATGTACTCGTATCTATAGTCAAGTAGAAGTTGTTAGCGCCTGAACACATTCAACGGACTTAATTGCACATCATCGAATAACTATGACGTTCGGGCCATCATGACGCGTCACTGTTCATACTACGTTGTGAGTCGATCGAATAAACTACTGTATTTTTCATTCCGAGCGCATTTTCATTTTATCGAGCTCATGAGCTATTGGAAGTTTCTGCGACATTATATTAACCTGGCTTGTGAATAATAATTAAAACATTAAAAGCTGAAGAAATCTTCTATACAAAATTGGTCCTTCGAGCCGGATACCTATAACGGATACCTATTAACCAGCGACCTAGACGTTATGGAAGATTACTCAACGGCTACAAAATTCCAAGATAAGGAGGCGTAGTACAGCTAAGTGGCAGTGTTTATCCGATTATTTCCTTGTATGTCTAATTTCATTCCTTTAATTCCTAATTTTAACACGAACTTTAATTGCGTGAATAATTTTCAGACATACCTACATACTACGATATTTTATTTCTCATAGAAAATATTCGTTTAATTACATCGTTATTTATTGAAATATCTTATTATACGGACATTAATTACGTGTAATACAGATTTTAAACGTTAAGCAATAGCTCAAAATTGGTTAACTTGAGTTCATATTTGAGTAAACAGTTTTTATTTCGCCGTATTACATATTACACGGACTTTAATTACGTGTAATAGTAAATTATATGAAATTGTTTTACGTTAAGTTCATTCTCAAATTGCAGTATCTGATAAAATCGAGTCGAAACTGAAAACATATCGGAGGCGCGTGAGCTGACTGTCTTTCTACCTGTGCTGGCCTTGCTGTGCGGTGCTGTGCTTAAGCTAGCAAGTACATCACACTGCAGTATCCGCTTTAAGTATTCGTTCTATTGTTATCACCTTAATTTACGTTTACCAATTATATCAATTAGAAGCAAAAAATTGAATACTTTTATCACTTGTACCTACCTACATACATTTTTTAATTTTCATTTTGTTATCTATTTTCAATAATGACTAAACTAGTCGAATTAAAAAGAAAACGCAGTTCATATAAAGCTAAAATTACGCAATTTAAATCGTACTTTTCAATTCTTTCATCTATAGAAAAGCCTAGTCCAGTGCAACTTAGTGATTTAAACTTAAGATTAACAAAGATTGAGGAATGGTACGGTGAATTTGATGCATTACAAATTGAAATCGAAGGTTGCTTGGAAATTTCAGAAGCTGAATGCGAAAAAGAATATCTGTATCGAGAGCAGTTAGAGAGTGAATACTTTGCATTAGTTGGCAGCGCCCGCGAGTGGGTGAGCAGGTTTGCTTCGGCGCAGCAAGACAGTAAGTCTGTCTCCTCGGCAGCAGGTACTGTACTAACAGCTAGTGCACCTACTTTAACTTTACCTACGATTCAGTTACCTACCTTTTCTGGTCGTTTTGATGAATGGTTACGATTTCATGATACCTTCACATCGCTTATTCATTGCAATGAAAATATTCCTAAAATTAACAAATATCATTATTTACAATCATCGTTAAAAGACAAAGCTGCGGACGTTATTAGCTCGTTAGATTTTTCTGCCAATAATTATGATATCGCTTGGCAGTTATTGTGTGAACGTTATCATAACAACAAGGTTTTAATAAACAACCATATTCAGGCCTTATTCGATATAGAAATAATTACAAAGGAATCATCTATTGCATTAAGAAACCTAGTTGACACAGTGAATAAACACCTTAGGGCACTTCAAAGTCTAAACATTAACACGCATAACTGGGATATGTTACTCATACATATGGCATCAAGCAAACTCGACAATGCAACAAATAGAAAATGGAAAGAGTACATTAACAATTTTGAAAAATACCCTGATTTAGAAAAATTTATAAAATTCATTAAAGATCGTGCCGGTTTGCTTGAAACGATAAATATGAGTCACATAAAACGCAGACATAGTGAACCAGCCAAGTTAAGCTCGCGTTCATTTGTAGCAAACACTAATAATAATAATACACACATACAACAAACTACACAGTATTCATGTCGTTTATGTAAACAAAATCATGCTATTTATCTATGCCCAAAGTTTAAATCTTTATCTGTCTCGGCTAAAATTAATAAGGTGAAAAAATTGAAACTTTGTTTAAATTGTTTACGACACGGGCATGAGGTAAATAAATGTAGATTCGGTCCGTGTCGAATATGTGCCAAATGGCATAACACAATGTTGCACACTGAAGACCAATTACAGGTCGAAACTAAGGAAACTCCTAACACATTAAACAACAACAATTGTTTAACTACACAAGAAATTATTGATCCAAAATTGTATGATGATGCTCACTGTGCAGAAGAGGGCAACTCGTCATACCAACCTGAGGTGGTCTTGTCATCTACACATAATAGTTGCGTTCTTCTGTCAACAGTTCTCATAGACGTAATTGACAATGATGGCATGCGTCACACAGTACGTTCATTACTCGATAACGGCAGTACCTCTAATTTTATAACCGACAAATTAAGAAATAAATTAAAATTACCTGTTTATTCAACTTCGAGAACAGTCGAAGGGATAAGTTGCGAGCCTATTCGTATAAATTTACGTTCTACTGTAAAACTATTTTCACGAACTGAAAATTATACAACTAAGATAAATTGTTTCGTTATACCACGCATAACTCAAACATTACCTGCTACGTATTTTGATATAAAATCATTAAATATACCTACCAACATTAAATTAGCTGATCCAACTTTCAACTTGCCGTCTGATATTGACATGTTACTTAGCGCTGATGTATTCTGGAATGTATTGGGCAATGAGCGCATTTCACTTGGTAAAAATAAGCCAATCCTCAATAGTAGTAAATTTGGTTGGTTGGTATCGGGTGCAATGCATACACACACACATTCACAGGGGAATAATAGTTCGGACAATCAACAATTTACATACATTAATACAGTCCATTGCAATTTATTGAACGAAGTTGAACTACAACACAAGCTTGATAGGTTTTTTGAATTGGAATCAGTACCTACACTACGTAAAACTACAAAACAAGAAAATGATTGTGAGTTGCATTTTATTACTACCACAACACGACAAAGTGATGGTCGATTCATAGTACAAATACCATTACAACAATCACCAGAGGTGTTGGGTGAATCTTATGATCAAGCCTTTAACCGGTTTTTGTCTCTAGAGCGAAAATTTGCGCGTTTTCCATTATTTAAACAAAAATATTGTGACTTCATTCAGGAGTATATTGATCTGGGTCATATGTCTTTAAATACTAGTAGTGGTGGGGATAAGCATACATATATTTTACCTCATCATGGTGTTTTAAAGGAATCTAGCCTCACAACAAAATTGAGGGTGGTTTTTGATGCTTCCGCGAGGACCACATCAGGTTTGTCATTCAACAACATCCAAAGCATAGGCCCTACTGTGCAGGATGACCTTATCAGTATTTTAATTCGTTTTCGACAACACAAGTATGTAGTCACATCCGATTGTGAAAAAATGTATCGATGTGTTCTCGTTGCAGACCATCAAAGATGTTTGCAGCAAGTACTTTGGCGTTTTAACCCTAATGAAGAATTGAAAGCATATAAGCTTAATACTGTAACTTATGGCACAGCATCGGCGCCATATTTGGCTACTCGTTGTCTTGTACAGTTGGGTCGAGAATGCACTGATCCATTGGTGCGCGAAACTATCATACATGACTGTTATGTAGACGATTATATAAGTGGGCATGACTCAAAGTCAACCCTTATACATATAATACGAGGTGTTATTGATCAATTAAAAAAGGGTCAGTTTCATTTGAGAAAATGGCGGTCTAATTGCTCAGAAATATTAGGCAACATCGAAGAAAATAATAATGGCG